CACTGCTTTATTACACTGAACTGTCATGATATATGGGATAAAGACAGTTATTACACTGCTTTATTACACTGAACTTCCATGATATATGGGATAAAGACAATTATTATAGTGCTTTATTACACTGAACTTCCATGATATATGGAACAAAGACAATTATTACACTGCTGTATAACACTGAACTGCCATGATGTATGGGATAAAGACAATTATTACACTGCTTTATTACACTGAACTGTCATGATATATGGGATAAAGACAATTATTACACTGCTTTATTACACTGAACTGCCATGGTATATTGGATAAAGACAATTATTACTCTGCTTTATTACACTGATATGCCATGATATATGGGATAAAGACAATTATTACACTGCTTAATTACACTGAACTGCCATGATATATAGGATGACGACAATTATTACACTGCTTTATTACACTGAACTGTCATGATATATGGGATAAACACAATTATTACACTGCTTTATTACACTGAACTTCCATGATATATGGGATAAACACAATTATTACACTGCTTTATTACACTGAACTTCCATGATATATGGGATAAAGACAATTATTACACTGCTTTATTACACTGAACTACCATGATATATGGGATAAAGACAATGATTACACTGCTTTATTACACTGAACTGCTATGATATATGGGCTAAAGACAATTATTACACTGTTTTATTACACTGAACTGCCATGATATATGGGATAAAGACAATTATTACACTACTTTATTACACTGAACTGTCATGATATATGGGATAAAGACAATTATTAAACTGCTTTATTACACTGAACTGCCATGGTATATGGGATAAAGACAATGATTACACTGCTTTATTACACTGAACTACCATGATATATGGGATAAAGACTATGATTACACTGCTTTATTACACTGAATTTCCATGATATATAGGATGACGACAATTATTACACTGCTTTATTACACTGAACTGTCATGATATATGGGATAAACACAATTATTACACTGCTTTAT